AAATTCATCTGGGAGAAATAAAAAAGACAATAAATCAGTCAGTCAAAGGGGCTGTAGTGAAGAATGGTAATGGTTTTATACAATGTTTGTCCAGTCGATAGCATCATTTACTGTATAAATAACCGTCTATGTGAACAGTTTATTGCTTTCCACACTCATATTCCACAGCTGGCAAGAGTGTTTGTTTATGTATCTATAGACCATTCTGCAAATACTGCTCTCAAGCTGCTGGTATGTCAGAATTATAAATGCACCCTATTACAAGTTTATTTGTAAAATTAGCCATATGAAAATAAAGTTATCTGTCTAGCTTTGTTGCTTTTTTTTGACAGTTATATATATATGCAGATTACTTTCTTTCCTCAGTACTGTTTCAATTTTCATGGTTTTATTTTTAGGCAGAGGGAATTGCCAGAGTGTCATCTAGTGCACTCTACTGGCCAGATACAACTTCACCAAGTCTGAGGGCCTTGCTGGCTTAAGTAGGTTGAAATACTTCATATGCCTTTCTTGTGTTAGAAAATGTTATTTTCTGTAAATTAATGCAGGTTTACACGAGGGATTTGAAAGGCGCTGCTTATAATTCAGTAACAGCATTACCAACAAGGCTGTTCAGGATACTCCTCTCTCTCTCTCTCTCTCCTTTTTTTGTAAATACCACTCTCTGAGTTTCTGTTGCTTTCTCTGTCTCTCAATTTCTCTAGCTATTGTAATGTGTCTCACCTTCTCACTTCATGTCCCCAAATTTAAAAGGCTTTTCTTCTCTTGGTCTTTGTTTATTTCCTATATCAGAATACACACATTTGGAAGTCTTGTTTGATTTTGTGATGAGTAGTTTGCTTATAATGATAAGACCTCCCTTAAAATGGATTTCACTAGGCCAAAAAGGCTTAAAAATTTCAAGCCTATTGTTAGGAAGAGGCTATTAAATAATCATAAAAAACTCCTAATTATAGAGGTTTTTTAAAAATTTAAAACAAATAAACAAGTTCTTGAAATCCAAGCCTTTGTGCCTACTGTTTTGGGGAGACAGGGTTTAGGATCTTTAAGCCAAAGTTTTTTTGTTGGTTCAAGGAAAAAAATATAATTTTCTCAAATTCTATTACTATAAATGTGCATACTCTACCAAATCTCTTAATTGACCTCTAACAAATCTCTTAAGTGGTCTCCAGAAAATAATACGAAAGCAGTGGTGGCACTTTAATGTAAACCAACTATTTTGAATGGCAAATATCGAGTACTGCTGAACTGAGATCAGCGTGTTAGTCATGTTCTTTCCAGTTAGTTCATTTGCATTTAATGTTACAGCTCTTCCATAAGGAGCCGGAGGGATGCCAGACTCCTGCTTTCTAGGTCTGCGTAAGCGTGGCACCAGAGCCTTTGCTGGTATGGGGCTATTCTGTCAGTGCCACAGCTGTAGTCTGACACTGAAAGAAGCACAAGTGCCTCCGAAACAGCTTTGCTATCACAGGTGGATGTTACTTAAGTTTTCACAGAGTTAGTATCAATCCTTGCATCTTGCTGGCACTGCTACCTGCCATTAGCATGGTGGGAAATGGAACGGGGGCTGCAAAATACGGAAATAACAGATGTGTTCTTCAGATATGGTGGGGCTTGGTTGGACTTTTGCCCTGCATTCCTGAAGGCTCATTGGTTGCTTCATGGCAGCCTAATGTACTTCACGCCATGATTGGATCTTTTGGACACCTGAGAGTTGTGTATCGGTATCAGGAAAACCACAGGAGAAAATCTTTGCAAGAGTGTTATTCTTTGAACCCAAAGGGATATTTTTGAATGTCATTGTAAATAAATAAAGAATATCACATATTGGAAGGCTACATAAAAAAACATTTAAAAAAAGACAGTCTTGTTTTGAGTTTTTGCTGATGCTGTATGAAGTAGTCAGATTGTCTTCATGTCTTGTTGAAAGCGCCTTGTTGAAGATTCTGCCCTCAAAGTAACCTTCATGGTAGAATGAATGTGAATAGTGATACATCCTAGGCTAACATTTTGGTATATGCTTTGGTAAAGATATATCTACTTTTTTTGCATCTCAGAAAGATATGGTGATGCTTCCAAGGGGAATTAGGGGGTCCTTGATTTGATCTTTCTGCTGAATTTCAGTTTGGTTAGTTATTTCAGTTTCGCCTAATAAAATGCATGATTCTTCATTTCCTGTCGTAACATGCAATGCAGTGTTCACATGACAGTATATAGACAGTTGTGCTTCACACTACAGGTAGATGTGCTTTTGAAGCCCTTAAGGTGTATAAAATGATATTACCTGCTCAGTAAAACTTTAAACAGAATAATATCAATAATTAATAAAAATAACAGCAAATGTTTATACTTAGCATTTTCCACTGTGTTACTTGTTGTTAAAGGGATAAATGTTGTCAGTGTGGGGAAGCTCTGAAAATACAGAAAGGATTGTTTTCACTGGTCAAACTCGGAGTGGCTTTTCTGGTGAATAACATAAGCTAATTATCTCAATCTGGTTTTTACCCATGAGCAACGATCCTGAATGATGATATTGCTATAGCTGAGGTCACAGTTTTGTCGCTCCAGCTTTAATGTTTTTATATCCCACGACTTTCACCAATGTTGGTGGGTACGATGGGTAGTGTGTTGCCTGCTCTTCAGGGCTGGAGATCAATTTATAAACAACTTCTTTTGCTGCTTTCACTCTACATTAGGTGTAAGAAGGAAAAGTGAATATATGATGGCCTAAATTTTCTTTCAGTGTTTGCCAGGATGTAACTGGAAAATATTTGTAAATCAAAAAAGGGAAAGTGTCTAGTTTTGGTAGAAAGTTGATCTGATTGCACTTTCAACAAAAATAACCCAATACCTGTGGGCAAAGCACAGAACAAGGGTCTACTTCTACACAAACGTGTTTTAGAAATTGTGCTAGTAATTACAACTTCAGTCTTCTCCGATGCCATGGTTATGTGGCATTATTTGAAGCTCACCCCTTATATCTCATGCAGCTGTGAGCTAGAGAGCTGACCCAAACAGAACAAAATGGAACAGCTTAAAATGGTAAATGTAGCTACCTATCCAGTGCCAGGGTATCACCTTAATCCTGGACGGCTTCAGCGGGTTTTCAAAACACTGCATCCAGCTTCTTTGTTAGTATGGACTCTTCTAGCATTTTATGTTAGAATTTGCCAGTTCGAGCAGTCTGAGAGGCAGCCCCCTCCGGTGAAGGCTGATAATGGCTGAGTGGAAGCTGTGGTCAGTATCAAAGCCGCAAAGGAGATCCCGGGAAGCCGTGGGAGTGAAGGGGGTGAAGGTGAGGTAAGGGAGGGAGGGTTAAACAATGAAAAGTGAGGAGACTTAAGGCAACAAAGCTACATTTGATGCACTGCAGAAGTATACTGTCTTTTGATCTTATAGGTATTTTCAGTGTGATGGTTTTTGTACTTCTACTACTTGCCAATCATTTTTCTGCAAAACATGGTGTTCAGTAAACCTGGAAATCTCCACTGCTCTTTGACATGTCAAGTTTGTGTAGTTGCAATGCAGAAATTTCAAAATGGTTTCAGCTAACAAACAGCAATTTCCTCATCATCTCACCCGACGGTGATGCAGATGTTTGAAACCTCTGTGCCTACTGCATGTTTCAGAAACACTAAACATTTCATCTTGACTTCTCTTCAGTACCACCTACTTCCTGGAAAATTTGGAAGCCTTGCATTTACCACTTCAAATTCTCTGCCAAGTTCCTTTCAATTTTTTTTTTTTTTCTCCATTTTTGTCTCACACGTTTATTATATGGTGACAAATGCAGTTTTCTTCTGACACCACATAATAGACGTGCGAAACACACACACATATGTTCTAGTAAGAGACTGCTCTTTACTTCCTGGCTCCAGTTGCAAAACATGAGTCAGGGTTAGAAAGGTTGTACCTGTCAGAGATGTGTAATCTGCATCCTCAAACTTTCCCAGCTTTTGCTACAATAGTGGGGAAAAATGGCAAATCTCGTTCTTCTGTTTCTATACTCAATGTTTCCTCCTCCCCAAACACATCTTTTCTTCATTTTATAATCACCATTCCCTTGTAATTATTATATTTACTCACTTCAGAGATTGATGCTGTCATTAACAGGAAGAAATATCCCTCCATCTCCTAAAACAAGTGTAGCAGCACTCTGACTGCAGGAGGTACAGCAGTTTTAGAGAAAGCATCCTCCTACTATACTGATTTTAATGAAAAGAAGAAAAATTACTAGTCCATTTGCTATGAATTCCAAGCACTATTTTTCACCACGTCAAGTGATATCTGATGTTCTGCTGTATAATTGTAGGTAATGACCAAACAGCCTCTCAACAAGACTCTAGTGACATACCATGCCTTATTTATATATACCAGTTTTAAGTGTTCTGTACACTTCTGCAGTGTGTAGGGGGCCTCAGTGCAATACAAAATCAGACAGATCTTTTGTGAGCTAAAGCGGAACAAGCCCCATGTTACAAGTTAAAACAAAACCAAGCAAACAAGCAAGCAAAAAGAGAAAACTGAACACATTATCCCTTCCTTCTGCACCCAAGCAGGATAGGAATTTAACATGAAGCAGTTATTCTGCAGTTACCCATGTGTGGCTGGAAGCAGCATGAACTATGGTGCTTCCACGTTAATCATAAACAGTTTTGTATTGAATTTTTTTCTAAATCATTTTATCCCACATGGTCCTAGTGGTTGACTTGCTCCTGCAATAGAATGACAAATAACTGGGTGACATGCTTTGAAAAATTTAGAAAACAAGAAATTCTATCCCGTTTTCCAAACAGATCAGAAAAAACACTAATTACATTAGGCAAGATGGAACAGACAATTAAACTGGGCATGCTTTAAATTTTGAAGCTAACCAGATAACTGACGCCTTTTTCAAAAGTAATGACTATTGAAGTGATTCCTTGAAAATGAAGCAAATCCACTGATTTTCCTTTCTAAAATTAAAGCATTTACCTTATACAAAGTATAAGAAATGTTACCTGTTGCCTCCACCATTCCTTCTAGGATTACAACAATTTCTAGCTCCTCTTTGGGCAACTGGGCTTTGGAAATCTCCCAGAAAGGACTCTGCTGGTTAATTTCATGGCTGATGATCAGTGGTGAAACCAAAAAGAGACGATCATCCCCTGTGTAATAACCTACGTTGATATCTGTCTGGTTGAGTGGTATAAATTCCCCCTCCTTTGTCTGTTTGGATTTGATCAACTTGGCTCGTATTGATGCCTCTACAATGTGTGAATTCCTAAGGTCTCCTACTCGGAACATCAGACACAGCTTTCCATCCCGCATGGAAATAACTGCGTTTGTAGAAAAAACCAAGGTTTCTGCCCTCTTCTTGGGTTGGGATATTTTCACAAACATGCAGCCAACCATGAAAGCGTTGACGATAGAACCTAAAACAGACTGCACTAAAAGCAGAATAATTCCCTCGGGACACTTGTCCGTGATGACCCGGTAACCATACCCAATGGTGGTTTCTGTCTCGATTGAGAATAAAAAGGCTGAGACAAACCCATTGAGGTTGCTGACGCATGGGGTCCACGTGCTGTCCCCTATATGATCCATATCTCCTCGCATGTAGGCAATTAGCCACCAGATCATTCCAAAGAAGAGCCAGGTCACAGTGTAAACCATGACAAAAATCAACAGGTTGAACCTCCACTTGAGATCGACTAAGGTAGTGAAGATGTCAGTCAAGTAACGGTAAGTCTCTCTGACATTCCCATGGTGGACGTTGCATTTCCCATCTTTCCTAACATACCTCTGGATTTTTCTCTTGGCACATTCTTTGTTTATATTTTTTGGCAGATCCTCTCTAGCTTGTTTGGGCAACTTTGGCTGATGAATAGTGACAGGGCTCTCTATGTCCTGCTCCATTGAGTCTTCTTCCAGTACGTTAGCTGCCATTAAAAACAAACAAACAAGAAAAAGGCAGGCATTATTTTTCTTATTATTTCTCTAAGTCAACACACAACTTCCTCCTGTATTACTGGCATAAAATCGCTATTAATCAATAAAATTATTATCCTTGTTCTTTGCTTACTTATTAGGCGCATAACACAAAACTCAAATAGTGCCAACCATCCTCAATTTATTGCTAAATAGAAACTGAAGGAAAACTCTCTTTCTTGTTTCCTCTCTGTCAGGTCATCCTATCTACACCCATACTTAAATTCTGCAAGATGTGTTCAAGCAGATCTTTCTTCCCCCGCCCCCCTTCACAGTTTAATAAATGAGGTTTCTTATGCACCAAGAAAGATCTTCTGGGAGATAGCAGATATAAATGAGGAAATGGATTTGCTTGGGGGTTTCAGTCAACAAGATGAGCAGAGAAAATGAGCAATTGTTAAGTTATTTTTTTCCTATCAATTGCATTGCTATGGGGAAAGTATTAAATAAGTATAAAGAATTTAAAAAAAAACACAACATTTTTTAGAAAGAACCAATTCTACCCTTGTTGAAGGAAAGGCGGGCTTTAGTGTAATATATACCAAGAGCAACTCAAGCACATTTCCATAGAAAATCAATGTCTCGCTGATACTGAGACAGGGAATTGTGTGTACTACTCCCAGTAACATAAACCATACAGTATTTCAGAACATGATTTAATTTTAATTCAGTATACCTGTGGCCTTTCATTCAAGCATGCCTTTTTCTCTAATTTTATGGGCCTACACAGTGTTCCCCCATAAGTGCCTCACAAGAATTTGAAACAGAAATGACAGTAACTGCCTTTTTTTTTTTTTTTTTGGCTTCCCAGCCTTTGAGATAAATAGCATCATTATGTTTATGTGCAAGAAAGAAGAGTTTACTGAGGAGGAGAGTGTTTTAATAGAATGGGTTTTGCTGAGGACATCGTAAAGTCTGGAGTAACTGTTTCTGTTTTACTGGAAACCCTTCTGCACTCTGAGGCTTGTTCCTGTGGGAATTTCAGCTTTTGAACTCCTTATTTTCTCTGTTCTGGCTAACCGCTATCATCTGCTGCCAGGCTGTGAAGGGAAAAGGCTTCTGCTGGCTCTACCTAGATGTTGGACTCTACTATAGTAGCACTGATGTGACGTTGTACCATCGGTTTACAGAGATGCTCTTCCTGAACTGTCAGGGCATTGACCTGCGTGTTGTCAGGGCACCTTGCAATGGCCACAGTTTACATAAATGTGCTGCGGTAACTTCTGTGCTGGCTTAGGTTTGTGCTGCCCAGTCCTGCTGTGGGTGGTGACATTCAAACAGAGAGCTGGGAGCAAGCAGCTTGGGTTGGGAGGCATTTAATTTCCCTGAGCTCCAGTTGCCTCTGAGCACCTCTTGCCTGGCTGGGAAATGGGGGCATAAACCCACCAAAGGTCCTGCTTGACTGAGCATTCCTGTCTCTGGCACCCCACAAGCTTGGGTGTCTCTGCCTGGCACTGGCCTGGGCAGTAGACCCAAACCCTTTTGCGTGGAGGAACTACCAGGGAAGCTGAGGGTCTTGTCTAGAGAGAGGGCTGCACAAGGGGCTGGTCTTGGTGGGTCAGTATGGCAGGAAGAGTGTTAATAGTTAATAGCCTATTGTTAGCCACTTTTAGCATCATGTGCTACCTAGCAGATCATCTGTGGAGTCTCACAGCACCTGTAACTTTTTCAAGATGTGCAGACTCATCCCTGTGGAGAAAGATCACAGACCCTTGTAAAGTTTTAAGGGTGACTGAAATACTTAGGAAAAAACCAATGGGTTGTAGACTGGTCATCTCTCCTTCTGGCCTGCTCCACTGCCAGCCAAGCCTTTCTTCAGCCCCATAGCCTTTTCTGTGGGAAAAGAAAGTCTCCAAGGTCGACAGTAGCATGGAAACCTGATAGCAGTTCTGTCTTTAAAGAGTGCGTGTTCCATCCCGTGTCACTTTTTCAGTTTGCTGCTGTGTCTAAAGAGCATTATTCAGGCTGATGGTAGCGGCAGCACTGGAAGTCGTGTCACAAGGCAGTTAGTTCTGAATGAACTTACCCTAGTTGGTGACAGCGTGCCTACTTGCATTATCACTAATGCTATATAATGTATGACGAAATAAACACAATAAAAAGGCATTGCAGGAACCTTGTGAGGCAGACCTAAGCCAAAGCCAGAAAATTTGAAGTTAAGGCTTCACACTTTACACTTAACTCTCTCTTGTGCCTAAGGAAATTTCAGTTCACTGGAGCTATCACATCAGTGCAGTAGCAATCCTCTCAAATACTTATGAACAGCCTGGTTCTGGCTTTTGAGGCTTTAATGCAGTGTGTGTTAGACTAGTAATGCTGGTTTAATGGGGTTCATTTTCTTCAAGGCATTATGAACATTTTTCATTCCCCTCTTGGTTGGAGCCGGGCATGAACGCAGAGACAGGATGCAGGTGTCCCCTGTTGTCTTTGAGAACATACTTTACTTCTGACCTTGCTGTTAAAGGCAACCATGTCCTAGACTTCCCTGCCTGATTATCTTTTACCAGAAACATCAAAGTATACTAAAAACCATAGCAGGGCTGGGAGGGGACACAGTTGCTGATTTTATTAGTGGCATCAGGAGAAATATGAAGGGATGTCCCCATCCAAGGATGTCGACTAGGCATATACTGCACCCATCTAGCCTGCTTTGCACACGGTGTTTATTTCCTATAGAAGTACTTGCTAGCAACGAAGCACCTTTTATTCATACAATGAGTTTTAGTGATGCTTTCAAAATGTTTTGTGTTGATTAAGCCCTTGTGCATCATAACCAGTCTTTCCTGTGTTTTACAGTACATGAGCTGACACAAAAAGACAGGTAAGGGCCACATTTTCTCAAGTGGCTGTAGGTTTTGTAGCAGGAGCAAGGAGCCACCTGCTCCTCAGCACACGGTGGTCGGCTGTGACTGTCACTGTAAGTGGGTTTCACAGGCCTGCCCCTTACAACGTGGGAGAATTTTTCTTAACCTTGAGAGTTAGCATCTTGAGAGGTATAGCATCTCACTAACACTCTTGTGGACATTTTGATCTCCTTGAAGGCATCTGGCCATTTTGTAAACTCTTCAGGCTTTTTCCAGTGCTGTCCTTTCTCAATTCTCAGCAGTCTCTGAGAGGAAAAGTTAAGGTCAAGTTTTTAGTCTTTTTCTCTTTATGCAAGATGCCCTTTTACTCTTTCTCTCACCCCAATTCTCTTACTATGAGACCCAATGAATACCTGTATGGGAGGTTTCTAGATCAGAATCACAGCCTGTCATCCTCTCCTGGTCTGAGTTCTCGCTCCAGAGTGAACCTTGGGAGCAGCAATTCCTGAAAGAAGTGATCCAAGGACTGTGCATCTGTGTGTTTCCATGGAAATGCTTGATGAGTAAGTTTTAAACACATGGCAGGATCCCTGTTCACCACTAAGGCTGAGGAACAGCCACATATTGTCAGCGCTTTTGCCACAAAACACTTTGACTAATTATATTTTTACTTGATATCAACCCAATTAGCTTATGCTGTTTATTTCATTTAATTTTCCTTTTGGTTATATAATGGCTGTCATGGTTCCAGGAACAGAGGAGTGAATAGCAGCTATCTCACTTGAGAGCTATTTTTACTCTCTCTGCTTTTCTACATGACAAAAATATATACATATTATTAATCTGCACTGCAAAAAAAAAATGTATTTCTGAATGCTTCCCCCTCTCCCAGTAAACATTGTGTTTGTTTGAACACAGCATCCAGGTAGCAATACTGTGCCAACTTAGGCCAATTTAGAGCATTCTGTTCAAAGTATTTGTTTCAGTGAGTCCCTTAGGCAAACACATATAACATGTATGAGATTTCATAGAATCATAGAATGGTTTAGGTTGGAAAGGACCTTGAAGATCATCGAGTTCCAACCCCCCTGCCATGGGCAGGGACACCTCCCACTAGACCAGGTTGTCCAAGGCCACGTCCAGCCTGGCCTTGAACACCTCCAGGGATGGGGCATCAACAACCTCTCTGGGCAACCTGTTCCAGTGCCTTACAACCCTCAAAGTAAAAAATTTCTTCCTAATGTTTAATCTAAACCTGCCCTCTTCCAGTTTAAAGCCATTCCCCCTCATCCTATCGCTACATGCCCTAGTAAAATGTCCTTCCCCAGCTCTCCTGTAGGCCCCCTTTAGGTACTGGAAGGTTGCAATAAGATCTCCCCGGAGCCTTCTCTTCTCCAGGCTGAACAGTGACTTGTTTCATTTTCTAGCAAATGACAAGGAGTTCTCCTAAATAAGTCCCTGAATAGTTCCCTTGTGTTTCATCATAGCAGTATGTACTGGCTATGGCTATATTAGTAAACAAAATGTGCCCAGGCCTATTCTTTAGTATGGAGGCTAAATGGAGTGGTACAGCCCACGCTTCTGTTATTGAACTCCCGTTGTTTTCAAAGCAGGGTAGTCTCATACAATCTGGTTATTAGGAGTAGTCTATGTCCCATGGTATCACCTGAAATGTAGCCAGGAATTGTGTGTACTCACTTCTCCACTGGTCAAAATCATGCCAGAGGCTTTTCTAGGAATTTTACCATGCAGGCAGTCGTGTGCCAGTGCTCAGGAACATTTTATTTTCTAGTAAGGATGCAACCAGTGTTGGCGTCCTGTCTTGTCTGTTACAGAACAGCATTGGAAAGGCCCAATCCAGTGTTTCCAAGACCATATTTTTATTTAGAGTTTGTAACATGAATCCAGTGTCAACAACAAACTATGAGCTGTACAGGAGATGTTCTCACGACCTTCATGGCTGTAAATGTAACATATTACTATAATCCCTAAGCAATTGTTTTATCATTAGCAATGTGATTTTTTTGTACTTTGGTAGTACTTCAGAGATCTTGTCATGGTATTGTACAAATACAAAGCAAAAGGAGGTATGTAAAGGGCATACTTGTCTAATTTAAATACTCCTAGTCTATTTTGATTGCATACTGTATTAGT